TTATTATTATTAATATTTAGTATTATTAAAATTCCCTAGTTTGGAGAAATGTATGTCAAAACTTTGAAAGTTTCACATGTCAAGCTTTTTCAAATGCAATTCTTCGAATATCTCGACGACGACTCCGAATAACCGTACGATTTTGATAGAGCAGATAGAATGATATGGTTTCTGACCTCCCGCTCTTAAAGTACCTCCAGATGGCCAGAACATATATGTCAGATAGAGCTATGTATTCTTAATATAACGACATACAGGACGTGAAGGGTCAACGGCCGCCGCGGACTGCCAGCACTGACCACACAGGTCCACTGTCTCCGACCACCCTGCCCAGCCGACCAGAGTTGACCGCGGGCACTGGTACAGCTTCCTCTCACTACAGGCGGGAACAAACAGGAGAATGAGCAGGCGGACTAATTACACATGAATTATTAAGCCGCAATTTGGTCCGGAAAAAAGGCGAATTATTTGTTGGGATTCGCTCCGTCTGTCTGTCTGTCTGTCAGTCTGCCTCCGTCACAGAGGGAGAGTGGGGCTGTTCACCTTTTCCTCCGACAGAGCTTTCGCCAAGGACCGTACTCCAGACGGTCAGAGTATAAGAACGTATAGACCATACTCTACAAACCCCTTGGGTTTCGCCAGTTTGTATTCAGCAATTGCAGCTGAGAGTAGACTTACAGTAAGGGAAAAACAAGCTGATCTGTTCGGCTCTATCGCCTCGGTAGATGTTACATCGTACTGAGCCCAAAATTTTGTATTTAAAAAAAATTAGTTTCTATTCAATCTTAGTTTCAGTAAGAGTTTTACGGCGCTTGCAACACAATAAAGTCATATAAGTGCCGAAGAGTAGAGGTGTTACAAGAGAGTACAATACAAAAAAAACAAAAAAAAGAAAGAAGGGAGATCAGGAGATAGATGCTTGATCGGAAAGAAGGAGCAAACACAGCAGAGCACCCGCTAACCACCCGCTTAATCAATCAGCAGTAACGGCTGCACGTGCTCAAAGAATGTTTTGTCGGAATTCCCATCCTAAATGTTGACAAAATGAACCCCCCCTCCCCCCCTACGAAAAAAACAAAACAAAACCCAACGACAAACCAACC